CATGGTCCACCAAGGCTCGGTCCTGTGGCGGCTCCTGCTCGGAAAGAGACACCTTTCAGTTGGCTGCCACGGTCTGCCCCAGGGTGTGGGGGAAATCGGAGAGGAGGGTGGCAGGACGGATGTCACCTTCTACTTTTATTTTGTCAGGGTGCTCACTGGACTCAGTAACCGGCTTCATCATGAATGTCCCACCACAGCAGAATGGACAGAACTGTGGACCTGGTCATAACCTCAGCTCCATCACTTGCTACCTATGCGCCTTCGGTGTCCTGGGTTAATAGCATGGACCTCATAACATCACCATGGAGATTACACACCAGTTACGTAAGCGGTTCTCAACCAGTGGTAGCTGTTGTTGTCAGTGTTTTCCTCCCCCCACTGTATCCTTCCAGCACTTACTGTCATGCTCTTTGCAGACACCTCACAGTGGTTGTCACTGCAACAGGGGGCCCACCTGGATGCCTCTACCCCCCGCCCCAGTGTCCCTCCCTTCCATGACTTCTACTCACTGAGCACAAAGTATTGCCTTTGGGAATGTTACTTAGGCCTCTTCTCTTCTGGTCATTCACCCCCAGAGCCCGCTGGCTCCCAATGGATTGGGGCCACGTAGCCCTGTGAGTCCTGACACCATTAGTATTATGCGCTCTGTGCAGGCCAAGGAGGGCAGGGGAAGGCACTGTCTTGGGGGAACAGCAACACAGGAAAGGGACAGTCACACCCTGTCTTCAGGGACCTTACGATCTAGTTGAGAAAGGTGACCAGAAGCACAAACTGAACATACTGTACACCCTGGGCAGGGAATAGATAGTGAGTGCTATGGGGGCTCAGAGAGGGCCGGAGACTTGCCAAGGCCACACAGCTCGTAGGTAACCAGCAAACCCCCACTGCCTCGTCCAAAGTCCATGCCCTTTCCCCAGGATCTCTGACCTTTAAGAGAAGTCAACAGGACTCAAGTGGAAATGCACCCTTTATCACTCCATCTGGTGTGAGGGCAGGATGGGGGGAGTGGGTGAGGGAGTCCCAGGGAAAGCAGCCCACCCTGGGGACCAAGGGAAAGTTTCTAACCACTATCCTTGGGCTTCCTTTCCTCCCCAGCAGACAGGAAGGGAAAAGAAAGTCAGAGGACACTGGGAAGAATCAGCAGCGAAATTCACTTCCTCAGAGACCCGTATCAATACATTAGCCCCTCTCTCCCTGCCCCAAATCCTCGACCTCAGAACTGATTTGCTGCTGTCTTCTCCGAAGTTATCGACATGGCAGGAGTGGAGGAGCCTGAGACCAGGCATTGTGTCCTATTTAAAACTTGAGTTTTTGCAAAAGACAACATGGCTGCCTCTGGACCAAGCTCTGCCAAGACTCCTTAAACCAAAGGTTTCATTTTTGGCATAAATTTGACAGTTTCTCCCTTTTACCATGAACCTAAAGACAGCGACCTGAAAGCCTTCTACACCTTCCCGAGCTCCTCGGCAACTTGCCTCTCCCTCCCTCCCTTCCCATCCGCTGGCACTTACTTCTGTGAACACGTCCAACGCGGCTCCAGCACACTGACCAGACTGCAGGGCTCGGAGCAGGGCGCCTTCGTCCACAATCCCTCCCCGGGCACAGNCCCTGTGTTACCACCTGGATGGTCCCTTTGGGGGACCCGGCCCAGGCTCGCATCAGTATTCCCAGAGCTTCTGCCAGACCAATCCAAGGCTTGGTGTGCGGAGAGAAGGCGCTGGTAAGGGCCTGGGCGTTTACCTGCAGACAGAGGAGAAACGGCTGAGGTCAGAAAGAAGGGGGACAGGGCACACCTGTCCAAACAGGTCTTGCTGCCGAGACGCGGCTCCCTGTAGCGAGCAGACGCCGCAGGGCCACCCTGGCTTTGGGGCGGTGGCAACTTCCATCAGCCACCAACAAGACGATCCCTTGTTCCCATAACAGAGGATGGCTCTAGAGCCAGAAAAGGCACTAAAGGCTAGAACCACTCCAAACTGCCAAAAGGAGGAGAAAAAAGGCATTTCCCTCTTCCCTGAACTGTGCCAGCCCCAGTCCCTCCAGGGGAGGCCCGTTTTGCCTGTGTAGGGAAAGGGTCTGGACACACAACAGCAAAGTGGATCTTGGACATAAAACGCCTAGGGAGTCACAGATCACGTGGATGTAGCGTGGTGGGTCTCTCTGGGACGTGTTCCTAATATGACTTTTTACTTTCTATCTTGATGTAACAAAAAACAAAAAACAAAAAAAAGTGTTTACATTGTCATTGAGCACTCTGACCAAATAGCACAATTTATAAAGCTGGATTCGGGGACGGCCGCTTGGCTCGGCTGGTTAGAGCATGATGCTGGTAACACCAATGTTGCCGGTTCAATCCCACAGGGGCCACTGCAAGCTGTGCCCTCTCTGAGTCAACTATGCCATTGTAGCACGAAAGCAATGTGCAACCAATGACCATGGCTGTTCCCCAATAAAATCAAAAATTAAAACAAAAAAATCTGAAAGTTTAAAATAAACAAATAAATAGTTGGATTCATATACTTTTTTTTTTTTAAGATTTTATTAGGGAATTGGGGGAGGGGAACAGAAAAGTTGCTGTCTTTTTTTTTTCTTCAGTCTAGTTGTAGAGGACATCGCTTCACTGGCCCATGTTGGTGTTATAATTGCGCTCTTCCCAGGTGAGGCAGTTCCTTGCCGGCCATTGGAGGCAGCTCACGAAAGCACACGCCCGCTGCCGGCCAGTCCCACTGCAGCCTAGACCATCACCTGTGACTCACAGCAGCCCAGCTCCAGGTCAAACTGTTGTTCACCATCTTAGCTGTAGAGGGCGCAGCGTCACTGGCCCTCATGTGGGATCTGAACCAGGGCTCTGCTGCTCAGAGCTGGGGTCCCAAGCCAACTCCTAACCAACACGCCACTCGGCCAGCCCATGGATTCATATATTTTTGATAATCCTGTCATTCTTCAAACATTGAACCCTGTGAAGCCCACCTAGGCATGCTGGGCAGTTGAAGGAAGCAGAAGTCACATAGTCTTCTAAAGTTATGATAGTCTGGGGTCTGGCTGGCTAGACCCCCCCACCAGGGGCTCGATAAGAAAGCTAGATTGTCTTGCTCAGACTTTCTATTCTACTTTGTGCTTCAGGATGTGCTGGCTCCAGGAAACCACTGGCCACTTTTGCGAGAAAACTTGTTAAGAGAACCATCTACAAAGGATTTAATCAGAAATTAAAAACCGGGAGTTTGACAGAAATTGAACAGGCTGTTACAAGATGTAATGAAGAGAAAACATGGATGCTTCTCTTACTATTTTCATAAAGATATAACTGGCAGAAACTGAGTCATGATGTTGAAAATGACCGAGGCGGCGGCGCTTCCCACCAGACCCTGCTTTGTGGGCGGTGGACTGGCGTGAGGGCTTCCCTTGCACCCCTCCAAGGAGGCACAGAAAAGAGCAGCGAGCCAGGAGGTGGGACAACAGAAGGCTGCTGCCGGGAGCAGAGAACACGTGCCACACAACAGCTGGTTGGGCTGAGAGTCTGCAGCAGGTGGAGGAAAAGTCCACAACGAAGAAGCCCCCCCAAGCAGGCACCCCACATCTCCGGTCCTCTGTGCTCATTGCAGGTCACGGTCCTCTCTAGAAGACGGGCAGGCAGGAGGGCCCCGGAAGTCGGGTGACTTTGGGCACCAACCGGACCTTAATGTTAGTCTGTGTCTAAGGTTGGAACAGAATTGAACTGAAGATGACACAGAAAAGAATTAGGGAGACAGGCATTTCCTATGGAACAGACAATACCCTTACTTCCGAATGCACACCCTAAAACCACCAGCCACTTTGGGTAAAGAGTTACATTTACCCAAGTCTAACTATTTTGACCCAAAGATTGTCTCTCTTAAGTAAGACGGGGACATTGTGTGGTTCCCTTTGATGGAGCTGGTACTAAGGTGTCCCCTGCACAAAAAGATACGCTGCCTAATGACGTGACCAACTCCCACGGGCTGCAACAGGAAGGCAGCCTGTGGAACGGCTGAAAGACAAAGCCAAGTCCAGACCGACTGGCAACGGTCATGGCCCAAACCTCAGCCTGGATCCTGACCAGAATCATATGGGAGAATAAGCCTGCTCAGAGGCCTTCATCGTACAAAAGGAATGAGAAAGTGTGCCCCATCCTGAGAAGCCACACGTGCAGAGAGCGGAGAGGCACACAGACAGACAGGTCAAGTGTCCCGTGGTCACCACCTTGCTCTCCGGGCCGGCACGCCCGCCTGCCGCACCTGTGACGGCTGGCCCTCACGGGTCCTCCTACAGGGCAATGGCTGGCTCCTGTTTCTCAGGATGAAGAGGGCAGAGTGTGGAAGGGAGGGAGGGAAGAAAACAGAAGAGCAGGCTGGAGAGCTGGGCTATCTACCCAGCGCTGGCAGGGCTGACCCAAGCAGCCTGTGTGTCTCCTGCCATAGTTCTGTCCTCAGCAGTGAGCATCCCCGGGCTGAGGGTCATCCCAGAAGGTCAGGGGCCACCCCCAGCCCTGCTCCCACCCTCATTCACTGACTCTAATCTTAGAGTATTGATTACATGCTCAGGGCAGAGCCAGGTGGCTACAGAGATGCTTACTTCCTGGTTTTTTGTTGTCAGAGAACTTAGAATTTAGTAAATAAGAAAGGTATAAACTCAGGGCCGGCCGAGTGGCGCGTTGGTTAAGAGTTGGCTTGGGAGCACCAGCTCTGAGCAGCAGGGCCCCGGTTCGGATCCCACATGCGGGCCAGTGATGCTGCGCCCTCTACAGCTAAGATGGTGAACAGCTCGACCTGGAGCTGGGCTGCCGTGAGTCACTGGTGACGGCATAGGCTGCTGTAGGGGTTGGCCGGCAGCGGATGTATGCTTTCTGAGCCTCCGTGAGCGGCTGTCCAATGGCCGGTGGGCGACTGCCGGGAAGAGCGCAATGATAACACCAACATGGGCCAGTGAAGCGACGTCCTCCACAACTAGACTGAAGAACGAAAGGACAGCAACTTGTCTGTTCCCCTTCCCCGACTCCCTAATGCTGTTCCCCTCTCCCAATTCCTCAATAAAAATCTTTAAAAAAAGAAAGGTATAAACTCATGAACCCTTAATAATAAGAGCATGTGCTGAAGGACTGAGATGGAGCTAGAAAGGCCAAGCAAGTCTTCGTGAAGGGGCAGCCAGCCCTAAGGAGAGCTGTGCCTTCCTTATCCATCTGTGTCCCAAAGGGCTATGACAGTTTCTGGTACCCACTGGAGCTTAAGGAACATCCAAAGATTGAACGAGACAAAAGAGTTGAGGTATAAGTCAGGTTAGACTTGGAGGTGAAACACATGACCGGAAGGGTCCAGTGAGAAGTGGGGACATTAAGCTATGATTTGGGGTAAGTAAGGGGGCAGACTGTCAGGGCAGATGACTCCTAGGGTGCTGAGATGGACACGATAAAAGGGGTGCTCGGAGCTACGAGGCATGTCCTAACAGGGCTTTCTCCACAGGCCATTCCCACCCTGCCCCCACTCAGTGTGCAGCTGTCACCCCCGGCCCCACTCCTTCCTCCTCAAGGCATGTGGGGAAAGAACAAAGGAGCCTTTCTCTGGACGCTGGGCCCTGGGAAGAACCAATCTTTTCAGAAGGCTACAATATATCGGGAGTAAGCGGGGCTCCCTGCTGCCAGGCTTGGGCTACCAAGGCTAGTGACAAGGCAGCTCCTGCCACCCACCCAGAGGCTGGCTCCGGTGGAGCTCCCAGGGCTGAATCTGGTCACCACACCACCGCTCATGCCCGCTGTCTCCATTGCCATCACCAGGATGCCTCCTCTCACTCCTCTCTCTGACCTCTGGGCCCCGCTCCACAAAGTGATACTTACAACCCCCGCTAGAGATTTCCCCTTCACCATGTCCACGAACTGGACCGCGATTTCTTCCCCGCAGCGGCTCTGGGCCTCCTTGGTGCTAGCACCCAGGTGGGGGCAACTGATGACATTCTCATGGTCCACCAAGGCTCGGTCCTGTGGCGGCTC